TATTTCTAGCTCAGGCTGGCCTGAGACTCTGATGTAGCTGAAGATGACCTTGAACATCTTTCTTAACCTCCTGCTCCATTTCTGAGTCCTGGGATTACAAATGTGTGCATCCATTTAGCCAGTTTATGTGCTGCTGGGGATCAAACACAAAGCTTTGTGCATGCTAGACAAGCACTCTGCCAACCAACTGCCGTCTCAGTACCTCAGGACAGTTTTTAATGGTAAAACCTCCAGAAGTTTCTCTATAAAATCGGGAAAGAGACTATGCCCACCATTACTACCTTCATTAATTCATGTCATGGGTAGGATGGTACAAAAAAAATCATGTAGGTAGATAGATTGAAAATTTAATATTATTCACAGATTATGTGACTCACAAGTATTGACACACTTTCTGTGAAAGACCAAGGAAATAAATATTTTAGCTTTTGGTAGTGTGTGGTTTCCGAGCAGCCACATGGGAACAATACAAGAATTGGTGGCTGTGTTCATGCATATTGTATAAAAACAACCAGTGGACCAGGGTTGGGCCACAGCTTTCCAACCCCTTATCTATACAAAAAACACTAGAAAGTCTTTAGAGAAATAATCAAATTAGTAAGCATTAACCAAAATTGTTAGATATAAATTATGGGAGAATATGTAACTTCCTAAAAAAGAAAGAAAGAACTCCCATAATAACCAAGCAGTCTCTCCACTAGGTACATGTCCAGAGGAGCTTAAGTCAGCTGCTGAAGGTCTATACTCATTGTACAGCATCCAACAGATGAGTGGGTTTTTAAAATGTGGTACATACATACATAATAGTATTCAGCTCCTTAAAATAAGGAAATCTTTTTCAGCAACATAGATGAAGCTAGTGGACACATCTTAAGTGAAATGAGCCAAACATGCAATGACAGGTTAGAAAAGTAGACTTGGAGAAGCAATGGTTGGAATAATGGTAAGTTATATAAGGAGCTGAAAACTGGTGCACAGGGGAAAGGGTGTCAGCAGATACAAAATTTCAATTAGGGACAGCAAATAGTAGCCACAGTTAATAACAGTGTGTAATACTTGAAAATCCCTGAGAGAGGGCCTTGGTGGCGCTTGCCTTGAATCCCAGCACTTAAGAGGCAGAGGCAGGCATAGCTATGCGAGTTCAAGGCCAGCCTAGTCTATATAGTGAGTTCCAGAACAACTTGAGCTATGTAGAAAGATACTGTCTCAAATCATGTTGCATACCATTACAATTTTATTTATTTATTTGGCAATTTATTTTTACTTTGTGTTCATTGGTGTTTTGCCTGCATGTATGTCTGAGGGTGTCAGAAGTCCTAGAACTGGAGTCACAGACAGGTGTGAGCTGCCATGTGGGTTCTGGGAATTGAACCCAGGTCCTCTGGAACAGCAGCCAGTGCTCTTAACCGATGAGCCATCTCTCTAGTCCCTCATATACAATTTTTTTCCTTATATACAGTTTTATGTACCATGTTAAAAATAACTAAAGACTGGGTGTTGGTGGCCCACACCTTTAATCCTAGCATTCAGGAGGTAGAGGCCGGTAGATCTCTGAGTTCAAGGACAGCCTGGTCTACGGAGCAAGTTCTAGGACAGCCAGGGATACACAGAGAAACCCTGTATTGAAAAAAAAGCAAAACAAACAAAAACAATTAAAGATTACTAGGTATAAGATAATGTACAAATCATGTTCCTATTTTCTTTTGTGAATGTATCGTTAAAAGTAGTTTAAAAAGTTTTCTTTTTTGTTGTTTTATTTTGAGACAGATCTCACTTTGTAGCCCAATTTATCCTTGAGCTTGCTGTCTTCCTACCAGAGTTAGTATATAGGCATGTATGCTTGTACTTTGGAAATATAGTGTGTATGTGTGTTTCATATATAGACTTATATGTATTCACAAATATAAATACATAAGTTTTAGTTGGTTTATTTGTTTGATTGGCAGATGGGTTTTGTTTTTGAGATAGTGTCTCTTACAACTCACAGTGACCTCCTATTTATGAGGTAACTGAGATGACCTTGAACTCCTGATCCCCCTGCCTTACCTTTCTAAGAGCTGTGATTATAAGCATGTGCAATCCACACCCAGATTGTTATGTATAACTTGAGATGGGGTTTCACTGAGTCACTAAGACTGTCCTGGAACTCATTATGTAGACCAAGCTAGTCTCTAACTCTAGGTCCTCTTGTCTTAGCCTCCTAAGTGCTGGAACTACAGATAATGTCTTTATAATATGTAAATAAAACCTATAGATAAGAAGAGTCAAAAACTATGATAATCCCAGAAGCAATAGTCTCTCAGCAAGTTTATTTCCAATTTGATCTATATAATAAGTTCCAGGTCCAGCTGGGTGGTGGTGGTGCACGCCTTTAATTCCAGCACTTGGGAGGCAGAGGCAAGCAGATCTCTGTGAGTTCAAGGCCAGCCTGGTCTACAAGAGGGAGTTCCAGGACAAACTCCAAAGCCACAGAGAAACCCTGTCTTGAAAAACCAAAAAAAAAAAAAAAAAAAAAAAAGTTCCAGGTCAGTCAAGGCTACACAGTGAGATCCTGTTTCAAAAGCAGGTGGGGCAGGAAGTCAGACATAATCTTAACGATAGGAAAATAGAAGAATTTAGACAATAGAATTTTAGAAGCTGAAAGGCAGGTAGATGAATAGCAATTGATTTATCAATGGCAGTTTCACTCAAGAAGTTCAAGAAAACTAAATCCTAGGGCTGGAGAGATGGCTCAGAGTTTAAGAGTACCTACTGCTGCTCTTCCAGAGGATCTGAGTTCTGGTCCCAGCACCATGCCAGGTGGTTCACAGCTGCTGTAACTACAGCTTCAGGGGATTCAACACCCATCTTTTGGTTTCCCCAGGCACCTGCACACATGTGGCAGGCACACACACACACACACACGTAAATAGAAAACTAAATCTTAAGTTGCAGAGGGTAAAGTTTAAAACTTTAGTTTACCAAGAATTCTCAAAAACCATAGGAATTGGCAACTTTGGGTATCCTGTACTGAAAGGGGTAGCTAAAGTGGAGACTTGCGTGAGAAACATTTAAGAACTCACAGTTCTACTCTCCACCCCTTCTAATGGGCAGTGTGCATCATTTTTTCTGGAAAGTTTCTATTTCTGCAAAGAGGGCAATATAGAAAACATCACCATATTGAAAGATGCCAGAAACAGTTGAAGGCTTCAGTGCCTTGCCAAAACCAATGTGACTGAGTGGTAATGCCCACTGAACGTTGATCTCAGACATGTTTAGTTTCTTTCAGCTATTGCGCCCAAAGATCTAAGCACTAAGAGCTTCCTCAGAAATGGCTTCACCCTACCCTGTACTCAGAGTTCCTGGTGGCTTGAATTACTTGCTCTTAAACTATGAGCAGGCATCCCGTGACAATCAGATGATTGAGAAAAACTTGTAATAAAGGAAACATAAATAGGAAGTTATTTGGAGGATAGAGAGACAACATAGGGAGAATAAAATATAATAACTAGTTACCTATATTCTCTTATATATAATACTTGAGTGCTTTAAGCAAAAATAAGATACAGTAGAAAGAGAAACTTTTTAATGGACTAATACTGTTCAGCCTCTGGGTAATGAGTCACAACTCTTCATTTAAAAATTCTCACTGGGCATTGGTGGCGCACGTCTTTAATCCCAGCACTCAGGAGGCATAGGCCAGCTGGTCTACAAAGTGAGTTCCAGGACAGCCTCCAAAGCCACAGAGAAACCCTGTCTTGAAAAACAACAACAACAACAAATCTCAATGTAGCTGGGCGTGGTGGCGCACGCCTTTAATCCCAGCATTCTGGAGGCAGAGGCAGGAGGATCTCTGTGAGTTTGAGACCAGCCTGGTCTACAAAGTGCTAGTTCCAGACAGCCTCCAAAGCCACAGAGAAACTCTGTCCCAAATCCCCCCCCCCCAAAAAAAAATTCTCAATGTGTTTTCTCGGCTGGCAAGGTGATTATTCATTAGGTAAAGGCACCTGCTACCAGATTTTAATCCTTGGGACCCACATGGTAAAAGGAGAGAACCAATTCCTGCAGGTTGTCCTCCACATGTGTGGTTATTATATGCTTCATGACTTTTACAATAACCAAAAAAGAAAATTTAAAAAGGAATCAAAATCTATCAAGGAGATTAGGCAAACAGAGCCTAAAAAAGAACCAAACATTAAGAAAGCAAAAAAGGTTGGGTTGTGTCTCATTGGTAGAGTGCATGCTTAGCCTGCTAGAGGTGCTGGGGATTTCCTCCCCCAAAAAACAATTTAAAAGAATAAATTAAATAGATGGGTAGATAATTAAAAAGTTACCTAGAACACAACATAAAGAAATGGAGAGATAAGAAAGATGAAAGAACAGAGTCATCAAATGTGAATGTTCCAAACATCTAGATCTGCAAAAGAATAGAAGAAATGGGTGAGAGACAATGTTGATAATGACTAAAATTTTCAAATGTTTGAATGATACAGATAGAAAGATCTAGAAACTTATGAATCTCCATAAAGATAAATAAAAATCTAAATTCTTATGTGTCAAAGTAAAATTGCAGGATTCTAAAGACAAAAAGATCAACCAAAGGAAGTGAAGAAAAAAATATCCTGGGCTGGAGAAATGGCTCAGAGGTTAAGGAAAAATATCCTAAGTAACAGTCGGATAGCAGACTGACAAATAGCAGCTGTGAAATAGTTTCCTCACATTCATAGAGGAGCCATGGTCATCCTTATATTGTATACTCAGTGAAACCTTCATTCAAAAGAATGCAAGGCATGAGAGTTTACTTCAGTAAAGTTTTGCTTTAAAATTGTGAAGTTATACTCAGAAAATTATCTCAAAAGGAGGGTCAGAGATTAAGATGGGGTGGTAAGTAACAGCATAAAGTATGTGTGTGAAGTTTTCAGCGGTTCTCCATTCTGCCTTAAGAGTAAAGCAGCTGGACTAGTACTCAGAGCCATTATTCCTGTGGTGACACTAGGTGTGTTGGTCTGATTTCTTCTTAGGTGCACAGAAGATGGGTGTCCACATAAGAAATTCTTTCATACACGTTTTCTCATGCGAATGAGATTAACACCGGATTGTTCCAAAATGTTGATCTCGACATCCTCTGGATATCTCTTGATTTTGCATGATCTGGACTTAACTAAGTCTTTAGAAGTAGGCAGCTATCCCATTTTGAGAGCAAGAAGAACTACTTCAAGTTCAGGTAAGATTTTCTGATTGAAACATTTCTGAAGAGCTTAAAGCTATTCCTCAGGAACCTTACTCATAGCTTTCCAAAGACATGCAATGATCTGTGCATAACTCCTACAACATTAACTTATACCTCTAGAAAGAGTCTTAGCTCTAAAAGCTCTTTGATTTCCACTAGCCAGATCATCATGGCTCAGTGGATTAAGACGCTGGCCACCAAGCCTGACAACCTGAGTGAGTCCCATCCCTGGAACCCACATAGTTGAGAGAGTCAAATTTTACAAGTTATCCTCTAATCTCCCCATTCATGCTGTGGCATACATGATAAATAAATAAATAGCTGTAAGGTTTTTAATTTTTTTAATCCCTTGGGGAAATGCAGGTATAATTGTATTAAATTTCTAATTTGGAACTTTAACTTTTACCAACTTACAAATTTCAATAGTTATTTAGTCTAATGCTTTTTAGGTTCTAACTTGCCCTTTTAAAAAAAAGAAATTAAACATTGATAATCAACTTAACCAACCTTCCTTCCTTCCTTCCTTTCTTCCTTCCTGAGACCAGGCTTTTCTGTAGCTTTGTCTTGGAACTTGCTCAGTAGATCAGACTGGCCCCGAACTCACAGAGATCCCGCCTGTCTTTGCGTGCTGGGATTAAAAGTGTGTGCCACCACTGCCTGGCAACAATCAACTTAAACTTAATGAAAAAGTGATTTATAAGATGTAGTTAGCCACTTTTTTTAAGGTTTGAGACAGGGTTTCTCTATGTGACCCTGGGTGTCCTGGAACTCAGTAGGTAGACCAGGCTGGTCTCAAACTCAGAGATCTTCCTGCTTCTGCTTCCCAAATACTAGGACTAGAGGTGTGTGAATAATGCCCCTCAAGTTTTCCATTCTTGACTGAAAAACCAAAAAACTGTTCAGTTTCCTAAGGGTGATTCTAGTTGCAAATGTCACAGGGAGTCACCGAGCGTTTGGTGGTGCCTGCATGTCTTTAATCCCAGCACTTGGGAGGCAGAGGCAGTTGGATCTCAATGAGTTCAAAGCTAGCCTGTTCTACAAAGTAAGTTCCAGGACAGCCAGGGCTGTTACACAGAGAAACTGCCCCAATAAATAAAAAAAAAGTCAGAGGGAATGCAAAGTGAAGTAACATAACATATTCAGGTACTTGATATTCATTGTCCCACACATTTTGGTTTTTCTTCTATTTTAGAAATGTTAGAAAAGCGAAGATGTTTGCTTGCTTATTTGGCTTTTTATCTTAGTTCACACAGGTCTTTACTATGAAAGGTTTTAAAAAGAATGTAGACCCAAAACAGAACCAAGAGCTCTTCTGTCTTCATCTTAGTTATAGTTCAGTTTTCATGAGTTTTTGTTGGCACATTTTAGGTGTATTTTAAAAGTTCAAGTAGATAATTAAAAAATTAAAAGATACTACAGGAGCTATGCTAGGTTGATTGTTTGGTTTTCTCTTCAAGATTTGACCACTTCATCAAGTTCTTCTGGTTCTAGAGTTTCTGGTTCCCCTTGTCATCACAGTGATTCTAACTCATCTGAGAAACACATGTCACGAGCCTCTCAACGAGAAGGTACGTTAGAAGCTGGGTTTATAATCTTACAGCAATAGATCCTATCAGATAGCTTTCTTTGGTTTAGTTTTAGTCCATAAAAACAAAAACCAAGAATCAGTCATCATTTGAGAAGGCCAACCATCTTGTGCTTTTAATGCTTGTGCTTGTGCTCTGATGGAAGTGTTGGTTTTACTGCCCTGGCCCAACCTTAATTTGGTCTAGTTTGAAGATGAAGTAATTGGGAACTGTGTTTAAGAAAAGGATATTCTAGGGGGCTGGAGAGATGGCTCAGAGGTTAAGAGCACTGGCTGCTTTTACAGAGGACCCGAGTTCAATTTCTAGAAATCACATGGTGGCTCACAACCATCTATATAATGAGATCTGGTGCCTTCTTCTGGTATGTGGGACACATGTAGGTAGAATACTGTATATATAAAATAAATAAATAAATCTTAAAAAAATAAAAGAAATGGCGATTCTAAACAAGGATGCCATGAAAATTAAATCAGTGTATTCGGAGCTAGGCCTGGTGGCACAGCCTATATAATCCAGCACTTGGGAGAAGCAGGGATATCAAGAGTTCAAGGTCATCCTTATCTACAGGGCCTTCTAACCCAGCCTGGGCTACATGAGATACAGAGAAACCCTGTCTCGTAAAAAAACAAACAAACAAACAAACCCCCCCCCCAAAAAAAAGAGACCCTGTCTCAAAAAGCAGCAGCAACAACAACAAAGTTGTTTCTTTTGATACTAAATTTCTAGGCTGCTTTCTTATGACATCTGTGAAAATGGTTCCTCACATATTCTGATGAGCAGCAGTGGCGTATTAGGAACTAGGCTGAAGGAAATGGTGCGGCTTATGGTAGAGTCGCCAGGAAGATTTCTCTCACCCTTGTTTTATATCTACTTATAGTATGGGTAAAGGTTTGCAGTTGTTTAACTTATAATTTTTCCAGTTTCATAGTGGTATAAAGTAGCATACATTCAACAGAAATCAAACTTCACATTTTGAATTTTGATCTTTTCCCCAGAGAGCTGTATGCATAATTTTTTCTCATGGTTCTGGAAAGTAACAGGGCATCTTCCAATCAGTCACACCATTGCAAGAGTAAACAGCTAACACTGTACAGCAAGCTGTCTCAGAGCTGTGGTGTCCAGTGGGTTGAGGGTATTGAATGCATTACAACCTAAATATTTCAACTTTGGATGAGTGTGTTAATCCCAGTGTAAAAGAACATCTGTACTGTCCTTAGGGGCTATAAGTCATGATCTTTTTCCAAAAGGCAGTCCTGGATTCCAAGTATTTTCTTCTTTGGTCTATAGACCAGAAAGTGCTCTGAGTTGAGAATTGTGACCTTAATTTTGTAGATTGCTCCTATGCACATGACTTCAGTTCTTAAATAAAGAGCCTTTTGAGATACAGATCCAATGAAAAAAGACCCCACTCAGCTTTCATGCCTCAGATCACTTGTTACTCCTGCTGCAAAATTTACAAAAATTGGGGTTAGGGGAGCCAACCATGTTTTTATGTGTGGTATAGTGTAAGGAGAAAACTAAGGGATGGAGGCAAGAAGGTGGTTGCCAGGAATCAGGGTTCTGCCTTAGTCTTGGGATAACAAAAATCCAAAATCTTTCATTTTTTTGTATCTCAGGAGTTTCACCACGAAATAGTCTTGAAGTCTTAACCCCTGAAGTTCCTGGCGAGCGAGACCGTGGAAACTGCATCACATCCTTACAGCTGCACCCCAAAGGCTGGGCCACCCTTCTTCGGTGCTCAAGCAACACTGATGATCAGGAGGTATAGGCTGCAGCGCTTCCCATTCAGCAGGGCTCATGGGACAAATTGCCCTTGCCCTGTGTGCAGACCTCAGGCTGCTAACCAGGCCCAGCCCCTGCCCACAGGGCATACTACCAAAACCCTGCTTCTCAACCCCACTACCTCCCCCTCTGATGCTTTATGCTTACAGTCTCTTCTTCCTCTCCTGCCCTGGTGTAGTGAGCTGAGAAGTGCCCTAAAGACCATCATCAACTGATATTATGCCCAACTTCTTCATTCTTACCTCCATCATGGGACAAAAAAAAAAACAACAAGGAAAACCTTATATTACATGTTACACCAAGCTGTTCAGCTAAGCTGACTAAATGTGAGGTTTAGGCTTTAGTAAGACAGTTATCATCACTATATCTTTAAAAATCCAGGGGAAACTGAGAAAGAAAGGGGCTAAACTGGTGCCTGGAGGAAGAGTTAAAAGACCTTAGGATTATACCAGCACTCAGGAGGCAGAGGCAGGTGGAGCTCTGTGAGTTTGAGGCCAGCCTGGTCTACAGAGTGAGTTCCAGGACAGCCAGGGATACACAGAGAAACCCTGTCTCAAAAAAACAAAACAAACAAAAAAGACCTTAGCATCTCACCACTGTGGTAGCCATAGGAGTCTACAAGGAGTTACTGGCTCTACAGACCAAACTGAAGGAAGGCAGAAAGGCCTTTGAAGTATGCAGAGGACAGACATACTCTGGTCCCTGGATTGTTGCTGCCCTCAAAAAAGGAGATGTATTACTCCCAAAGTCATAGCCAGCCTCAGGAACAAGAGATCTTAAGCATTATAGTTCACAGTAACTTTAGCTTATGAAGGTAAAGAAGGGTGAAGTACACATTAGGTGAGAGGGTGATACTCATCTAACTGATTTCTAGCAGCACTCCTGTGGTTTGGGCTCTCTGTTGAGCTTCTCAGAAATCAAGAGTATCTCTGCAGGATGACTTGGGGGATCTATAACCTTGGTTTGTTTCCTTTCTCCTCCAGTGGACTTGTGTCTATGAATTCCAAGAAGGAGCTCCAGTACGACCTGTCTCACCTCGCTGTTCCCTGCGGCTGACTCATTACATCGAAGAAGCCAATGTAGGCAGGGGCTACATCAAAGAACTTTGCTTCAGCCCTGATGGACGAATGATTTCTTCCCCACACGGCTATGGGATTCGCTTGTTGGGATTTGACAAACAGTGCAGTGAGCTTGTTGACTGTCTACCCAAAGAAGCTAGTCCTCTACGGGTGATTCGATCTCTGTACTCTCATAATGATGTGGTCCTGACAACAAAGTTCTCTCCAACACATTGCCAGATTGCCTCAGGGTGCCTTAGTGGGCGGGTCTCTTTGTATCAGCCAAAGTTTTAGGCACAACTTACATCAAATAAGGAACTCTTCTGGTGTTTGGCTTATGAATTACTTCAATTTAAGTGAAGTATTTTCTTTTTTAGAAGATCTTATAAGTTTGGGTCAAGATCTTGTTCTTATAGGTTGGTGGACACACATATGACCCAAGTCCTTGCCATCCATCCAGCGTCATCTGGGCATCTCCATTTCAACCATGCAGCACCGTTGTTTCGGCATTCCTTTGCTCCTGCCGTCTGTGCCGCTGAGCGTGGGTATCCTGGTCATTTCGCATGTGCCTCTTGTTCTCTCTCCCACCCCTGTTTCCACCACTCCTCCCTGCTTCCCTTCTGCTCTTTGATTTTGGTATGAATTTTGTGGACATTGACAAGAGTCGTGGTTGGGATGAGGAAAAACCCGTAGCACTAGTACTAAATAAAACCTAGAAGCTGGATGTTGGCACACCAGTTGTTGAAAAAAAGAAAGTTTATCTTCATTTATCAGTACACTTGGCCTTTAAAGTTGCTGTCAAATATTGAGCACAGATAATGGCATTATTCTCATAACCGATACTCTTGCAACAAAATATCTTTTTTTAATTTCCTGTTAAAATTACACAAGTTATCTCATGTGAGATTTTTGTTGTGAAATTCTAGAAAAATACTACAACTTCTTTGTAATTTATTTTACTTGTATGAATTTAAAATCTCCAGCATGTGTCTTTGTTATTTTGTTCCTGTCTCCAGCATTGGAAAGGAAAGGAAAAAGCTTGGTCACTTCTGTTGTCAGAAGAGTTATTCATTAGGGTGGTGCAGTATCTGGTCATAGAGTGAGAAGATTAATGTGGCTTAGATTGACTTTGATTCTTTGAATCCCACAGATGAGCTGTTCCTAGTAATGGGGTGGAGGGATGGCAGAGATTTATTTTATTGTCATTGTTCTTCAGCCAGAGATCATAAGCTCACCATTAGTAAGAAGGGAACTGTAGTCCTTTTTAAGCCGTTGTCATAAAAGTGATGGTCTGACTTGAGTAGCAGTGTCTTAGATTGGTTATGGAAAGTATCAGACAAGGTGACTCCTGTCTTGAATGGGCACTATCCTTCCGGTCTCTGCTACATTGATTGGCACTGTGTTGACATATGCTAGAAGCTGAACAATTTAAGCCATGCAGTAGCCTTGCTCTCTTTGGTCACATGCCCTTTAAGCCAGTGTTTCTCAAATATTAGGATGCAGTATAATCCTTGAAGGATTTGTGAAAAATGCAGGAATTTAGGCCTGACCTCAGAAGACTGATTTAGGTAGGTCAAGGACAGGACTCTTTACAGAACCATAATCATCTGTATCCAGGTGGTCTCTAGGTCATAGCTTGAAAACAACCTGAAATTGCAGTAGGTATTACTGTATCTATTTGGTGCTTAACGCAATTCCCACAAGATGTTTCAACTGTTTAAACAGTAAGAATAGTAAATTGACAATAGTAATCTTAGGGCAGCAAATAACTTGAAGTAGTATTTATTTCATTGTTGGACAAATGAAAGAAAGTTAAATGATTTGCCTAAGATCATATAAAGTTAGTGGTAAAGTCAGGGCTTCAATTCAAGTCTCTTAATTCCTTGCTCAGGGCAGTTTCTACTGTATTATGCTGGCTGTTAAAAACATCAGTGACTATGAGCATTTGTTGTTGTGAATAAAATAATCAGATTAAAAAAGGCAAGTATAGCAGTAGATGCTGAGAGTTTTATCCATAGCAAAAAGAAAATATTTTAATACTTACAGAAATGTTTAAACAACCCAAATACATGAATAAATACACAGTTCTTCATAGTGTCCATTAGCCACTCCAGGAAAGTCTTTAAAAATTAGATCTTCTTGCTGGGTGTTGGTGGTGCACGCCTTTAATCCCAGCACTTGGGAGGCAGAGGCAAATGGATCTCTGTGAGATTGAGGCCAGCCTGATCTACAAGTTCCAGGACAGCCTCCAAAGCAATACAAAGAAACCCTGTCTCGAAAGACAACAACAAAATTAGGTCTTATCATAGATGTTGAAAAAGCTGGAAATTTTGTAGTCGTTGAAAAAACAAAAAAGCATACTGAAAATCACAGGCTTGCTTCCATGGCTTTGAAAAAAATTTCCCCAAAGGCTATAGTTTAGGAGGAAATATTACAATTAAAACTATCACAATGAAAAACTATTAAGTATAAAGATTAAATTGACATTCAAAAGGAGATTCCATAACTGTTAACAGTTTGGAAAGAGTTCTGTGTCAGAACTCTTTGTTCTAGAGAATCGTTTAAGTAGTCTATGTCACCTGACTCAAGCCAGGGGTTCTTGGATCATTGTTTTTGAATACCTACTATATGTTAAAGAATGTGTCTGCTTTGCTACTGGCCCCTACAAAGACCCCTTACAGGTAGGTGGAATGAGCCTCAGATCACGTGGGAGGTAGCAATGGGTCAGAATAATGAAGCGGCTTGCCTGAAGCCACAGAATTGGCAGTGGGTAGTCTGCCTGTTTATTCCATCGCTGAGTCTGTACTTACTCTACCGTTTTGCCCCTTAGTTCCTGAAGGATGAGCTACACTGGTCTGCTAATGTATGTGCTCAGTACCTTCTGCAGATTTTTATTACAAGGCTGGCCTTGATCCCTTTACAACTGCATAAAATAACATTTCAAAACATGGATGTTTCCATGAGACTAGAGGTCTTAACCCCAGGGAATACATGTGAAAAATTAAGTAGGACAAGCACCTGTGATTTTGAGAAAATGTAGAAGATAATCAGCCTTGTGTGAAAGCAAAGCCACATAGATGAGAACTGAAAAGAGCCAGCAAACAGAGCAGGGAACCTTTGCCCTCTCTGAGGTGTAGTCAAGGTCAAGACAAAAACCAGACAGTATTAACCAAGAATTGAAAGGCCTCAGAAAACCTGTATTATTGGAAAACGTTACATATAACCATCTTAAGGTTCCATTTTAACAATCTAAAATCTGGTATTTTTTTACTGTTTTATTAAATCATCTTTATTAGAGTTGGTAGAAATATATTATGATTGTTAATGAAGTTATTACTGTTGGAAAATCTTGCTAAGTAAGTCATTCTGGCTTAACACTTCCTTCAGAACATTTTTAATGGAAATACTATGTTGAATGACTTAGATGCATCAAATATACACAGTAGTTGCTTTTTCCAATCAGGAAATGAAGGGCTAAAATAAGAGATGTTTGTTTTCAAAAATGTGTGATCATGGGGCTGGAGAGATGGGTCAGCAGTTAAGAGCACTGGTTGCTCTTTCAGAGGACCCGGGTTCAATTCCCAGCACCCACATGGCAGCTCACAACTCTGTAACTCCAATTCCAGGGCTTGACACCTCACACAGACATACATGCAGGCAAAACAACAGTGAACATAAAAATTATTTTTTAAAAAGTGTGATCACATTTGGGGGTGGTGGCACACACCTTTAATCCCAGCACTGGGGAGGCAGAGGCAGGCAGTTACTCAATGAGCTTGAGGCCAGCCTAGTCTACATACTAAGGTTCCAAACTAGCCTGTGCGACCCTGTTTATTTTTTTTAAGTGTTGTCTTTTCTCAAAGCCCAAATCATGTGTATGTTTTGTTATTTCTCCCTGTTGTATCCTAAGAAGAAGCCACAACAAAAACTTTCAGGAAACAACGAAAGGAAAAGATAAATGTCATATTCCCTACTTCTGTACCTAGGACCAAATCACCTCATATAATCTTGAAGGTTGTCGTTCTAGAAGGTGAGTACAGGGGAAACATCCCAAGAGTCTCTTAGAAGACTGGTATGTCTCACTTGGCGTATGCAACATTGTGTCTATAAGTGTCTGTTACAGTTTGCTCTTAGTTTATTTTTTGTTTTTTCAAGGCAAGGTTTTTCTGTGTAGACCTGGCTTATCCTGGAATTCACTTTGTAGACCAGGCTGGCCCCCAACTCAGAGTTCCCTCTGCCTTTGCCTCCTTAGTGCTGGGATTAAAGGCGTGCATCACCATGCCAGGCTTTTGTTAGGCTTTTATAAAAGCAGGAGATATGGCCTGGTAACTTCCTGATGAGTCACCCTCATTCAGTGGCCAGTGGTCCTTGGGTGCTGTATAGGTCCACTTACTAACACCTGTTGGACATGAAGGAATCCATGTATATGAGTTCTGTTTGGATAAGTGCCAAAATTTTTAATTTGTAGTTATTTTTGATGCTAGTCTCTTAGGTATGGTAGTCTACCTTCCCTGCCTTCTTAAACAGCATGCTCAGTCTAATTCACTTTATCACGATGAAGTTACATTCATGATGTGTTATTGCAAATACCCAATAAGCTCTGTTACATGTAGAACATTTCATAGAACACAAAGGGCTATAAGAAATGTGAGGAATATCTCTTAGCAAGTGATTGCCTCAACTATGTAATTATTTGCCTCATTGTTAGCCTTTTTAAAAAAATGTATTGAGAAGTAATGTATTCTATCAACATGCCTGTTTCTAACAGGCTTCTACTTTGTTCTGTGTCGTCTTCAAGTTATGGGCTGTGACATGAGTTAACCAGTCCTGGTTGCTGCCTACAAAAATAATTGGGCAAACTCTAGGCACATAGTGAGGTAGCTTTGGCTCTGTTCTACTCATCATCTGAATAATGAAGCTTCCAAGTAAGAGATGTATAAACTAGCGCTGCTGCTGGCTTAAAAACTAGCACTGAACTGAAGCAGAGTATGGCGGCAACAACAGCTCTGCATCTGCAAGGGGTCCTTCCTGCTTCTAAGAGCAGGAGAGTGCAGAAGAGGAAGGAAGGAAAAGGAAACTCCAGGTAGGCTTAAGACTATAGAGACGCCATTGAAACCATCGAAATGTATGCTTGCTTATCACCTTAAAAGACCCCGTAGAGTAAGAGCGCACTAACATCTACATCCTAGAGATAACTTTCGACGATGTCTTGAGAACTGCTCCCATTCAAACGATGGAAATTATTGACAACAGGAAAATCTCCAGTTTGCCTTTATGCTGCTGTCTTGAGTTATAAATGACCTGATAGAGGTTTAATCAAAAGCCCCAAGGAGCACATCCTTCGCACACATCTTTTGAATGTATGTATATATAAATGTTACTATAAGTGACACCCCCAGGAGTGATAAAATAATGTTCAGGATTTAAATCTAGTCACAGTCTTTAAGATAGACCAAATCTGTAGCTTTCCCAAGGCTCTGGCTCATAGACTTCATGGCTTTTACTCTCTCTCTCTCTCTCTCTCTCTCTCTCTCTCTCTCTCTCTCTCTCTCTCTCTCTCTCTCTCTCTCTTCCTTCTTAAATGTTAGGTTTGTATTTTTGGCAAACTTGGAATATTCTAATTAATTTGCTGTCAATCAGAGCACTTTCTCACAGGGTCTAAGGTGCTATTGGTCCTCTGCTAGACTGTGCGCTCCTTGAGGGCAGGGCTATCTTCTTTATTCTTGTATCCACGGTGCCTGGGAGAGGATCTGACAGAGTAGTTGTTCAATAAATATCTGTTGAATGAATCAAATGAACCTTCACTATGTGTGGCCTCAAATTCTCATGAAGCCAGAATGTGATGGAAGAGTTATGGAGCCCCAGAGGCAGTATTGGGGGGTAGTTGTTGGGGTTTGGGGGTCTTTTTTTTTTTTGGTTGGTTTTGTTTTGTTTTTAAATAGCAGGCTGTCTTCATCTGGGTATTTGTTGATTTTGAAAACTAAATTATGGCTCTATTTTTCATTGAACATGAATTTGAAACCCCATATGCCTAGTCTAGTAGTGGGTACCCAGGGCACAGAGATACAGCTAAGATCTTTCTGTAGAAGCATATGGAACCGACGTGGATCCAGGGCTGCCATTACAGGGCTGTGGAGTTACAAAGGCTCCAAACTTGTTTTATACCCGATTGTAAACTTGGGAACAGCAGCACTATATTTTCATGTGGCTCTTAGCTCACACATTGACAAGTTCTTACTTAGATGGCCATTGTAGGAACTATAAATTACACATCTTCCATCTACCTTTAAGTAAAGACATTCCAAGATAGCTACAAAGTGCATGATTCCATACCTTAATTTGTAATCTATAATTCAATCTTCCAGAAGGTTTTTGGTATTTGAAATGTCCATTTCAGAATAGAGAAGCTTTCTAAGACTATGACTTTACCTTTCCCAGTGAATTATTTTCAGCCTTTGAGTGGATAGACAGACTTACAGATGACCTCTACATACCTTCATACAATCTCCAGGTTTTATTAAACCTTTCTATGTGCACTGAATATTCTGGTACATGTCTACCTCATTACGTGACTTTTAAGAAATAAATGTTACTTGCAAACATTTGACATACTTTTGTTTGTGATTAACAAGGCGCACGCCTTTAATCCCAGCACTCCGGAGGCAGAGGCAAGCGGATCTCTGTGAGTTCGAGGCCAGGCTAGACCGACAGCCTCCAAAACTATACAGAGAAACCCTGTCTCGTAAAACCAAAAAAAAAAAAAAAAAAATTCAGGTGTTGCTGGTGAATCCCAAGGCTGGGAGACAGAGACCAACAGATCCCTGGGCTCACTGGCATCCAGTTTAGACGAAGCATGGAGTTCCCAGGTCCCAGTGAGAGACCATGTCTCAAAAAATAAGATTGATGGCTTGAGGACAGATACCCAAGATTGGCTTCTGGTTCCCACCCATATTAATGAGTGTACACTCTCTCAAGAGATTTTTAGGTTTTATTTGAGATGATCTCCTTATGTAGCCCAGGTTGGTTTCAACCTTGTAATCCTTCTGCCTCAGCCTCCTGAGAACTGAAATTATAACTGCACTATCACACCTAGTTCCAAGTTCTCATCCCTGTCTCCCCAGTCCCAGCTCTTTTATAAATACATTAATATATTCATTGTATTTATCCACCCACCCCACTCCCAAGACAGGGTTTCTCTGTGTAACAGCCCTAGCTGTCCTGGAACTCACTCTGTAGACCAGGCTGGACTGGAACTCACAGAGATCTGCCCCCCCCCACCTCTGCCTCCTGAGTGCTGGGATTAAAGGCATGCACCACCACCGCCTGGTCATTGTATTTTATTCTTAAGGCATTTTTTTTTTTTTTTTGGTTTTTCGAGACAGGGTTTCTCTGTGGCTTTGGAGGCTGTCCTGGAACTCACTTGGTAGTCCAGGCTGGTCTCGAACTCACAGAGATCCGCCTGCCTCTGCCTCCCGAGTGCTGGGATTAAAGGCGTGGGCCACCAACGCCCGGCTCTTAAGGCATTATTACCTAAATTGTTTTTTGAGTGGGTTGTTTTTGTTTCTATGAGACAGGACTCACTGGCCTTAACTGGCTACCACTAAATTGTGGTCTTCAACTTGTAGCCAGCTTCCAGTCTCTGCCCCCTATAATGCTGAAATTATAGCCATGAACTGTAGGAGGAAGTCTGATGCCGCCATTAAACATGTGACTTACTAGAGGCGCATACAGATGAGGTAATAAAAGGGCGGTTTACCACACCGCTAACCACACCCACTTTAGGCAGGACTAAAGACGTATACGGCTGGACGTAAAGACGTATACGTATGTAGGCGGAACTACGTCACTAGCCAAGCCCACTTTTGGGCATGGCTAGGGGCGTTACGGGGGGGAAGGCATAAAAGACAGCGCACAGGAAGTCTCGCTCTCTTTTCCTGGAGTTCGGTTTCCGGTCCAGTCGCTAGCTGAGATCTGCTGGGCTTCTCGGGGTTTGGTATCTTGTGAGTAATTTTCTATATAAAATACTTAGCCTTATTTTCAGTAATTGTGTGTCGCGTATCGTTACAGCGTCCGTAAAGCCAACAATGAACTAATACCTCAACCCCAAATCATATTTGTTACATAACATTGAGGGGCTGGAGAGATGGCTCAGCAGTTAAGAATGCTGGCTGCTTTCCCAGAGGACCAGAATCCAATTCCCAGCACCACATGGAGGCTCACAACTGTCTGTAGGACTCCCGTTCCAGATGGGGTCTGACTCCCTCTTCCAGCCTCTGCAGGCACTGCAGGCACACACAGCCACAACAGCCACACACATAAGTTCAAAACCAAACAAATGGGTCTGACTGAGGGAGTCCCTATCATTTCTTAAGAATTATAGTTCCTGACAGGAAAGTCACAGCTCTTACTCCAGTGCTTTCTGGTCAGAAGTGGGCAGACCTTCATATTGTGAAAGTTTTAGGAAAGAATAAATTGGTCAGGCAGTGGTGGCAAACACCTTTAATCCCAGCACTGGGGAGGCAGAGGCAGGCAGATAGATCTCTGTGTGTTCCAGGCCAGCCTGGTCTACAGAGTGAGTTCCAGTCCAGCCTGGTCTACAGAGTGAGTTCCAGGACAGCCAGTACTGTCATACAGAGAAACCCTGTCTTGAAGGAAAAAAAGTCTGCAAGAATAAATTGAAAGCACCCATGAGGAGCTGATGGTGGAGCCCTGCCTGAGTCCTGAATTTGATCCCAACACCAAACACTACGTGAGCAGTCACAATCTAAGTGGAGCACTCGGGGCCTTTGCTGGGGGCGGGATGCATCCTGGCTTATCACTACTGGAAAAGAAGTTCCTAAGCTAGCTGCCTCCTTCCTGCTAGCATTTCCGCAGCCCTATAACTTCATGGATGCCTTGCCAGCCAGCAAGAACAGTACTGTCTCCCTACCTACTACTGTTTTCACAACTTTGAAATAAACAGCATATCCTAACATTTTATTATTCAAATGCTCACAAACAGAAAATATTCTACAGTGACTATCCATTAACCAAGATTCTCTGCCAAGGGGCTGGAGAGATGGCTCAGTGGTTAAGAGAACTGACTGTTCTTTCAGAGGACCTGAGTTCAATTTGCAGCATGGCAGCTCACAACTGTCTGTGACTCCAATTCCAGAGGACCCGAAACCCATGGCAAAAATGCCAATGTATATAAACTAAAAATAAATAAATTTTAAAAAGATTCTCGGTCAACATTTAACTGCTTCTATCACCCAATATTCATCAATCCATTTAATTTAGACACGTTTGAATTGCTTAATCTGTACCGGTCCTTCACCCAATATAGTGCAATTGTAAAATAAAATTTAGATACAAAACACAAGTATTAACTATACATTAGCTAAATTCAGATAAATGTATGTGCCTATGAGCTCCAATACCCTATACAGAATACTCCAGTCCCTTCCCTGTCCCTGCCGCCTCTCCCAGAGCAAACAGTTCCTCCCAATATAGATTGGGGGTGTAGGTAGCTTTCCATGTGTTTCCTCTTTTCATTATTCATCATGGATAGTCATAAAACTTTGCTTGTACTTTTGATTTATGTGACTGTGAGTTTCGGTAAATCTGTTTTAAATATTTAACTTTTTCTTTTTTTAAACAGGGTTTCTCTGTGTAGCCCTATCTGTCCTGGAACTCACTTTGTAGGCCAGGCTGTCTTTAAACACAACAGAGATCCATCTGCCTCTGCCTCCCAAGGGCTAGTATTAAAAGCATGTGTCACCATGCCCAGCTTAAATATTTAACTTTTGAGGAGAGTAACTGAAACAAAATTTAAATCTAATCTTGTATTAGTGTGACCATACATTATGTAGCGCTGATTTTTAGAAGCAATTAAGAGCACCACTGAAGCCGGGCGTTGGTGGCCCACGCCTTTAATCCCAGCACTTGGGAGGCAGAGGCAGGCAGATTTCTGTGAGTTCGAGACCAGCCTGGACTACCAAGCAAGTTCCAGGACAGCCTCCAAAGCCAGAGAAACCCTGTCTCGAAAAACCAAAAAAAAAAAAAAAAAAAAAAAGAGCACCACTGAGATGGACATACAATAAGGACAAAATCTGGGCTGAGACTGCTTCTCCTATGGGCTATGAACCTTAGTGGGTTCCAAGATCTATGACACAGACCCTGTCCCCACGCTCCTGCTCAGGGACATAGCTCAAGCACTACAGACTGAACCGAGTGTGCAGCAGTTTACTTGACCACTTTGCTGAGTCACATGTCAGCTTGAGAATAGAAAAAGTGGCTGCCATTTCCCTGCGGTGCACAAGTGATTTTTATGTTCCTAACTACATTTCCCTGTCCTTTGAATTCCTCATTGTCGGGTGTTTCAGGGAGGTACAATCTTTCCTGCTGTATAGCCTGGCTCCACTCCAAACACCTCATCCTCTGGAGGCTGGAGAGCTCTTTTTTTTTCTGACACACGTGTTTAGTCCCATAGCAAATTACAGCTTTTCAGCCCTATGGGAAACTAACAAGCACACAGGCATCCAATCCAGCAGGTGCCGCCTGTCAGCCAGGAAGATGGGCTTGATGTCGCATGTTTATATGTGATTCACTGATGAGTTCTACATGAATGTGGATGACTCTGATTTCTTACAATGCCCCTGCCCCCACCCCAGGGGTGCACATGACCTAATTCAGCCTAGGAGGCAGCACTCAATGAAAATAGTTTTCCATTTTCCTTATAATTTGTAAGGCAGCCAATGTTCTCTGGTAAGTGCGGACGTTCAATACTCAGAATGCTCTGCCCAAAACAGCAGTTTTACAACACTGGGTAGGTACATGGAACTTTCCTAAAAAAAAAAAAAAACCAGAAAGTACAATCCTAGAACCGGGTCTCTCTTGCCTAGCCATAAGGGACCTCAGCTTTTTCCAGTCCGAGAGCCACTTAAAATTGGACATGTCATTTGTTCCCTAGTTGCTGTAGCAAAACACTAACCAAATGCAACCCAAGCAAAGGTTTACTTCACCTTACAGTCCACCATGGAGGGAAGGCAGGGAGCCCATGTGGAAAACAGGATTGGAGGCTGCCAACTGGCTTGCTTCCAAGCTCTCGTTCTGTTCCTTTATACAGCCCAGGCCCACTTGGCTCCACCCACAGTAGGCTGGGTCCTTTTAGATCAATTAACAATAAAGAAAATAGCCCAGCACTCAGAAGCAGGGCCAGGTGGATCCTGGCAAACATGGTCTACGTAATGAGTTTCCAGGCCATTTGGGGCTACACAGTGAGACTCCATCTCCAAAGAAGGGAAAAAAAGAACTGTCCTTGTAGACATGCCTACAGGCCATTCCTGATGGCTGTAATTCTTCAGCAGAGACCACAGGCGTAACTTAGAGGATCTGCAGCAGAAACGCCTGGCAAATCGAATGGCAAAGTGTGTTACAGTGGAGAGAAGCATGTAAGAAACAAATGCTCTGCAGTGAAGGTGAGGTCAAGCCCTCCTAAACAGGGTGTGTGGTGCCGGAGCTGAGCCTCCAGGTGAACTGCTGAGTCAGCGAGCTTAGGTTTATCAACAGAAAGATTGTAGACTACTACACCCCCTAAAGAGCGCTAGTGCCAGACTTCCCAGCCACAAAACACCAAATTGTATTCCACCTCCCAAAAGTTAACACGAATGTTTAACAGACTTACTCAAACTTAGTCACAACTCAATAGAACAACTAGAACTTGGTGTTTAGTCATTTTTAAATATAAAAAGAATATATGTAGACCTGCCTGTGCATCAATATGGCATGCAAAGAGCATTAAAAATCAGAAATCAGGGCTGAAGAGGTGGCTCTGAGGTTAAGAGCACTGGCTGCTCTTCCAGAGGTCTTGAGTTCAATTCCCAGCACCCACATGGTGGCTCACAACCATCTGTAATGAGATCTGGCGCCCTCTTCTGACCTGCAGGAATATATAATAAATAAATAAATCTTTTTAAAAAATCAGAAATCAGCCAGGAGGTGGCCCTCGCCTTTAATCCTAGCACTCAGGAGACAGAGGCAGGTAGATCTCTGTGAGTTTGAGGCCAGCCTGGTCTACAGAGCAAGTTCTAGGACAGGGCTACACAGGGAAACCCTGTCTTGAAAAACCAAAGCCAAAACAACAAAAAAATTAGAAATCTTTCAATCTCAAGAGAACATATTCAAGTTTTTAATATGCATTTATTTGTACATGAGGAAAAATACATTGAACATAAAGAAACCAAGGATAAGTCTGTGGCCTCATCTGTGACCGCATCACATACTGCACTGACCTCCTTCCAACCAGAGTTCATCCAATGGCAGCCACGCAATCAAAGCCAGCACTCTGCACCTTACCTTACAAGTTTGTGGCCTTATCTACATTGTAATTGATCTCAGGGACTTTAGGGACTCAAAGATGACTATATATATATATGTACAATTCTGCTTTATTGAACAGGGTCATAATATGTAGCAAGTGATTATATGACCAACCACAAGATGGATGATGACAGGCACAAACATCTGTGTCTAACCACAAATGGGGTAAGGTAACAACCTGCCACCGTGCAAAGGCTGTGTGGGCACCAGGGCAGTGCTGACGGTTCCCAGCACTCAAGCGTGTTAAATGCAAAACTCGTGTGTCTGACAGCATCAGCTAAGGAGCATAGGACACGAGTGTCCCGTGCTCATGAGCCACCTGTGCCACACATGCAACAGAAAGGCCACTTTAAAGCTTTTCAGAGTTCTTTCATCAGGTTTGCCTGTAAAGAATGTCACCACACTAGTTAGAATCTATTAATTACATAGCGGCGTAGAAAGAAGTTCAGACAAACTGGGTTACAAATTATGAATTTTTTTTGTCAAGCTTAAATTTATAGCAGACAAAGCCATCTCTGTAATATACTGCATTTTAGTCTTCAAGAGCTTGAAGAGTGATAAAAATGCTTAAAAGTTAAAAATCATTAAAAAGTTTGTTTTAAAATGCACATAATTGATACAGCCAAAGCATTGCCCTTATAACCCTCACGTGCTGCACAGGAGTGCTTTACAACTTAACTTAAGCCTCTTCCACCTGCAGGAGTGTGCAGAAAACAAGCCTATCATGGAAGGCCAGTGACCTCACCAGGGCCAGGGTGGAAGCCCTGTAACTTAACCCCCATTAACTAGCTCCCCTTCCCCGCGCTGTGGGTGCTGCCCTCTCTCATGTGAGTTCATCCCCTTCAAATTTGAACTGAAGCCACGGTACTACTCACACTTGTCTGGGCCAAATTCTTGAGTCCTCACAGCTCCATGTCTGCACTGCACAAAGTTTTCCGTCAGTGCTGCTCCATTACTGTCACCCCAATGCTTGCTATGCTCCCAACCTTCACAGCTGGGAGAAAGTGTACTTCATTTAACCAGCTTCAATGTAGTAGAGGTAAACAGCTATTTTGGATTACCTGCCCCAGAAACTTCTAGCAAACTCCAGTTGAGGGTCTAATTTCAGTTTGTAGATATGAGCACATATTCGTCTGCGATTACCCAGAAAAATCTCTAAGAAACCTTTAAAGACTGGAGATGCCAGGTGTGGCAGCTCACACCTTTAATTAATCCCAGCACTCAGAAGGCAGAGCCAGGTGGACCTCTGTAAGTTCAAGACCAGCCTGGACTACGTGTTGAGATCCTGTCTCAAAAACAAAACTGGGGGAGGCTGGAGTGTCGCTCAGTGGGTAGTGTTTGCCTAGGATGTGCAAGGCCCTGGGTTCAATCCCTAGCACCATGGAAAGAAAAAAGGACAAGCTGACTCTCCCATGACAAATCCTAGAAAACAAGTGTAACTAGTTTACAGACAACTTTCTAAAGATTCATAAACTACTTCTCCAGAATGCATGTATTTCAACTGGATTGTGAGTCATGTTACATTTGCCCAGAATTAACTCTGATTCCTTGGCCCCGTGAGTGGCAGTTAAACCCTACCTGAGCTCCGGGAATCAGGTACTCTCTGTCAGACCACACCCTGCTGCGCTGCTCTAGTGGTCCTAGAACATAGAGCCCTGAAGAAATCCTTCCAGAGAAATAGAAGAACAAGCACTGGGAAACCCATCCTCTGCTTCTCACCTCACTCTGAGAAACCAAGAAAAACACCTGGAATCGTAGTAACAGACTCCCCAAATAAAACTTTATGGAAGTGTTTATTCTTTTAAGTCCAGTGCCAGAGAATACGATGACGAACGTCACTACTCACAAGGGACAATGCCCGCACTGGTCAGCTATGCTGACACCAGCAGCATAAAGAAGCCAAGCAAAAACAGTAGACATTGCAGTGAACAGCTTACCAGGATGAAGCCCATGACAGAAGTTAACTAGGTCACCCTATCTTTTGGCAACGAATTCAGAAAAAAACACATGGACACTCTGGAAGGGCTTAAAGTCACATTCAGAATTAAACAGAAAATGTTCAAAGCTAAACAGTGAAATGGAAGCTTCCATTAGCTGCTCAAGTCTATCAAATCTAAATAAAAGGAGTTTGGATAATGACTACCAACAGCACTTAGTATCAAAGCTAACTCCAACAATTCATCATGGAACTATATAGCTAAGACGTTAACTTCCGTCTGCTCTGCTCCAGTCCACCATGCAACGCTCGGGGTTAATGACGGTGACCCTCCTACGAGCAGAGCAACCAATGAGGTGAGAAAGAGCCCGAGAAGCCCTGGGGTAGGAAAACATGCTCCTGCTGCTGATGCCATTGTCTCCATAAGAAAGCCTAGCAACTGCTTCCGGGAGGAAGAGGACTCTATCTTGGCTGACAGCTGCCCTGAAAAGGTCATCAGATACACGGCTAGTTACCAGGTAACAGCCTAAAGCTCTTGAGTAATGATCAAACCAAAACCCTGATATCTGCCCACTGAAACCTTTTACTGTTTTTGTCCATGCTTTGTCTGTAATTTATTGTGGCCTGGACTTAATGACACCAACCTGTATTTAAGCCAATTAGGAGCAAAGCCAAATTGCATTCTCTTTAGGTCTAGTTGGTCCAGAATAACATTTCATGTGGTGACCTCATCATACAATCTTTAACAAAAACTCGTAAGTTGCATTGATGATTCCCCAGGAGATGAGAGAGCGATGGTAATTCAGATGGGCGCCTCTGAAAAGATTGATCAGGTTCCTGTCCCGTTCTAGCCAGATGGTCTTGAGGACCATGGGAAGAGACTGGAATGGCCCACCAATCTGAGACTGTATTCGGGCTTTGACAACATTAATCGGGAAGCTTAGGAAGCCCAGCATGGCACCCAGCACGCCTCCACAGATGAAGTCGTTGACCAGATGTGCGCTATTCGTAGTGGCAGTAGGCAGATGCTCCTTAATTGGCCCTCGAAGGCCAAAAAACAGGACATTGCTGAATCCGTTTCGGAAAAGGATAGGCACCAAGCCTCGGTAATACTCTGCAATTCCATGGCATCTCAGGGCCCGGAAGGCCTGGTACGTGTTTGTGAACTTATCGTGGTGCTTATGGTCCTGAAGCAAAGTCTGAACTCTTTCGAATGGAGTGAGAACGGCTTCTGTTGTCCCAGCAAGCACGGCTGCCACACTTCTGGTGGCAAACTCGGGAGCGGTGCTCACATGCTTAAGGAGCAGACGTGACAGGTCCTCATACAGACCAAACATGAGGGCCAGCGTGGTTGTCTTCTGCATCAGCGGGGGCAGGATCCCACGGTACAAGTTTCGAAACCCATCCCTCCTCAACTGGAGCACGGCATCCCTGGTTTTGATGCCATACAGCTGCTGCCGAAAGAGGATCTTCTGAACTGGGTATGTGATGGCCACGTTGTTGAATGCTGCGCAGCAGCCACAGAAGTAATGCTTCATCTGCCCCACGTCTGCAATGTGAGCAGACAAATCCTGGTTTGAAGAGGTCAGCATCTGGGGCCTCTTATTATGCGCTTCTGAGTCCATCATGATGCTTATGATCTTTCTTCTTTAACCTATAATCAATGATGAGGGTGTTACAAAGAGTAGAACACAAACTTCACCCCAATCCTTTCTCCAATTTCTAGACTACATTTTCCCTTTAAAACTGGACTAGTAATACTGTGTTTTTAAATTTAAAAAATTACTTTTATTAATTGTACATATTAATGAGGTTCAGTGGGTGTGCTGTTTCTACATATGCATACAGGTACAGCAGATCAATTGTTTGTTTCCTATGGGTTTTTGTTGGTGCTGCTGTTGCAGTTTTGAGACAGAGTCTTACTATATATAGCCCAGGCTGGGCTTCCCCTCACATCTTCAGTGCTAGCAGTACAGACCCACTCTAGCACGCCTGGCTTCCGATCGCTGATGGTTAGAGCTATTTCAGAGTACAAGAGTCCTTTCAAGTTATGAGACTGACTTCCACCCAAACAACCCTTTAAGCAGACAGGAATGAAGTACAGGAAATTATAAAACACATTTGCTTCATGAAAAAGAATGGGGCACAGAATGCAATAACTTTTTCTCATAAAAATGTGATATTAACAGACCATAGGTTTATCATTGCTTTGTTAGCAGTAATTACTATTTAAATTTTGTTTTAGGGGCTGGAGAGATGGCTCAGAGGTTAAGAGCACTGGCTGCTCTTCCAGAGGTCCTGAGTTCAATTCCCAGCAACCACATGGTGGCTCACAACCAACTATAATGAGATATGGTGCCCTCTTTTGGCATGCAGGGTTACATCCCTGTATACATAAGAAATAAATCTTTAAAAAAAAAGTAAAATTTGTTTTAATCCTAAACCTTGCATGTCAACCCATATAAGCGAAAGCTTTCTGAGGTTCACAATAATTCTTTAAAATTTAGAAAGTCCCAAAACAAGGAACGTCAAGATCACGGACCTAAACACTGGTCATTCTGTCTAATAATACCGCTCCCTCATCCTACTGAAACAGACTCACAGTTACCAGGCTCATTTGTAATTACAGCACTGGAGAAACAGAGGCAGGAGGAATACTGAAAGTTAAAAGGTCTGCCTACAGTCTACATAGCCAAGTTTCAGGCTAGTTAGGGCTTCAAGTGAAACCCTGTCTCAAAAAACAAAACAAAAAAGAAGACACAGTCCTTCCAGGAGATATAGCAGCAAAGTATGTCATTCACTCATCTCGTTTTACATTTATTCCGTACCTGTGAACTTTGGTCTTCTGCTAGGCATTGGATCCTCAGAGACAATAAAGCCACAGGCTAGTCAGAATCTGCCGAGTAAGCAAGTCCATAACAGTACATTAATGTCTATGATAACTAAGTGTCGTGGGCACAGGCTGCATATTTTGGGATACGAGAGCTTATAAGAGAATGCAGTTAAGGTATGTACTATGCTTTATTTTTTTCATTTAAGTTTTCAAACTATAAAGTAATTTTCTAGTTTTGTATGTGAAAAAGAGCCCCAATGATCCTCATTGTTCAAGACATAACTAATAACTGGTAGGGCCAGAATATTTTGATGATGTCACTAGTTCCCACCTTCCCACCCGGGGCAATGACTTTGGAAAGCTGCCCTGGGGTCACAGTGGGTCTGTCTGATAGTGAGATGGAGATCTGCAAAGTCCTAGCTCTATGCACTGTCTCCTCCCCGTCTAAGCCCTGCGAGATGACTCAGCAGTAAAGAGGTGCCTGCCACCAAGCCTGACAGCCTGAGTTTGACCCCTGGAACCTACATGATACAAGGAGAGAACTGACTCCCCAAGTTTTCCTCGGACTTCATCATAACATGTGTGTCACCCCTCGAGACAAATAAATGTAATTTAAAATATTTGGAAAGAAAACTAACAACAAAAATAGCCAAATAGCTGGCTCCAGCTAGGTTTGTCAGTTCCCTGCAATCCCAGCACTAAGGAAACCGAAGCAGGAGACTGCAAGTCTGGGGCTAGCTTGGCCGTAAAGCAAGATTCCACCTCCCACCTACAGCCCAAGGATCACCCTTTTACTTGGGGATAAAACAGTAATTTGACTATACTTTACATTTTTAGTATTTTTTTAATTATATGTACAGCATTTTGTCTGCATATATGCCTGCATGCCAGCAGAGGGCACCAGATCTCATTAGATGGTTGTGAGCCACCATGTGGTTGCTGGGAATTGAACTCAGGACCTCTGGAAGAGCAGCCAGTGCTCTTAACCACTGAGCCATCTCTCCAGCCCCCATTTTTAGTATTTTTAAGTTGTCTTTTAAGTAATGTTTCTCTGTGTAGCCCTGGCTGTCCTGGGATTCACTCTGTGGACCAGGCTGGCCTTGAACTCGGGGTCCATCTTCCACTGCCTCCTGGGTGCTGGCATTGAAAGATGCCACCATGCCCTACTCTATTATTTACCTATGTACATGTGTATGCAGTTGCATGCCCTTGCTGGCGGTGCCTAAGAGGCTATCAGAGTATGCTGGATCATCCCCTGGACCTGGAGGCACATGTGGGTGTGGCCCCCAACATGGGCACTGGGGACTGCTCTCTAAAAGAGTAGCAAGCACCCTTAACCATGGAGCCACCCCGCAAAGGCCCTTGTCTTTTTAGATGGACTAATTCTTCTACAGTATGAGACCACATTTAACAAATAAGCAGCTAAATAGTAAATGACGCGATTTAAAAATGGCAGAGGCAGCCGGGCATTGGTGGCGCACGCCTTTAATCCCAGCACTCGGGAGGCAGAGGCAGGTGGATCTCTGTGAGTTCGAGACCAGCCTGAACTACCAAGCGAGTTCCAGGACAGCCTCCAAAGCCACAGAAAAACCCTGTCTCGTAAAACCAAAAAAAAAAAAAAAAAAAAAAAAAAGGCAGAGGCAGAAGAATCTGTTGGGACTGAGGTTCTCAACTTTCCTTAATGCTGCAACCCTTTAATATGGTTCATGTTGTGATGACCCCAACCATAAAATTATTTCATTGCTACTTCATAGCTGCAATTTTTCTACAGTTATGAATTATAAAGCAAATATCTGACATGCAGGGTATCTGATATCCAAACCCTGTGAAAGGGTCATTTGTCCCCCCCAAAGGGGTTACAACCTACAGGTTGAGAACCACTGGGCAGGCCACACCTCAGAAACAAGGTGGAAGGAGAGAACTAATCCCAAAAGTTGTCTCTGACCTCCTCAGGCACAGCAGGGCATGTCATGCCCACATATGCAAATACATGTTTCAAAAGACCAAAAAGCAAGCACTGGTGCACTGTGACACAGGAGCCCCAGTGCAGTGTTAATGGAACTGTAGATGCTATGGACAACAGTACAGTGATTCTTGGTGAACGCCAACTAAACTGTCAAGTGGTCAGCATCTCACCGCAGGTGTGCAACCCACACTCATAGCAGCAGCACAAGAGGTGGAAGACGGTACAAACCTGAGCCACACCGCAAGGTATCATGGGAGATAAAACTGGTCAGACAAACTAGGTCTGTGATTTGAACAAAAACAAAAGCCTCTTAAATTCTTCCAGGTTCCCTCCATTACCACACTCTGCTGCTGAAAACTAACAGTCACAACAAAAACATTAGAGAGAAAGCAGAAGGCAGAGCCCAGGCCCAGAGGAGAACCAGGAGCTGCAGATGGATGAGGTATGGCGCACAGTTGTAGTCTTCCTTCTGAGAACACAGCTTAGAGGAGTCACTTAGTCTTCGCCACAGCAGGGCCTGCGCTTCCCCGGCACCTTCAACTTTGGACAAATGCTCTTAGGTAGCTATGAAACGGTCAGAGACACTGGACCCAGAGCCTAGGTAACACACAAGAGCCTTAGAACCCACTAGTTTCCTGAATCAAAATCCCAGCTCTACCACATATTTACCTGTGAGCTTTGACAAGTCACAGCTGCCTTATTTATTTTATTTTTTATTTTTTTGGTTTTTCAAGACAGGGTTTCTCTGTATTGTTTTGGAGGCTGTCCTGGAACTTGCTCTGTAGACCAGGCTGGCCTTGAACTCACAGAGATCTGCCTGCCTCTGCCTCCTGAGTGCTTAGCTACCTTGTTTATAAGACACAGAATTTACCTACCTCAGACACTGGAGAGCAGCCTTGAGTGATCTGGAGTACAGACTGTACTCAACCGAGGCTGAACTATGCTACTGTTCTTATCTGAAGTACTTACTTGATGTATAGGTGTTCCTCAGGTTGTATTCTAATAAATCCATTATGATATAAAAATATGTCAGAAATGCATTTATCTATCTTTGGTGCTGGGGATTGAATCCAGGGCTTCACCCATGTCAGTGACATGGTCTACCACTGGGCTTTACCCCCAGTCCCTGGAGAGGTTTAATACACCTAACCTACTGAACTGTTCATTTCAGCAAGGGACTACTGGTTGTCTACTGCTGTGATTGTGTGCCGCGTCCTCTGTGTAGCCTGTATCCGAGAATGTGTGGAGGGTGTCGGGATTGATGACACAGAGACCAGTCAACGATGTAAAGAAAACTTTAAGCAGGCCCCAAAAAGGCTCAAGAAAACTTCCCAAGAAAGGCCTCCCTCCAGAAAGGCTTCTGCTCCCTGCCTTACCCCTGGCTGGTTCTGCTCCAACACCAGAGACTGACTTGGGTGTGTCAGAAGAGGCGGTTAGTCTTTGGAAAAGGTCGAGGTCAGGGCGGTCCAGTGGGCAAGCCCTTTTCAGGAACTTATTGCCCTGGGCATTGTATTGTTTTTAGTAAACATTGTCTTACAGCTGCCTGGTCCCAGGCTGATGGGGAAGTGGGTCTCTGGCCAAGGTCTGTTGTCCCCACAATTGTGTGGGTAACGGGAGCTGGGGTCACTACTTCTACCTTTAGCAAAAGCGCACAGTGCCACTTAGATCACCAGCCAGCGGAGATTACTTAAGGGGAAGGCCCTACTAAGCATGTATTACCTTTGCCCCATCAAAAAGTCAAAAAGGCAAAGCTCAGCCCTGCACGAAAGAGAAAGACAAGCCCTGTAAGTAGCCACTGCAAGTCAAAGACTATACCTCCAGCCCCAGGACACAGACATGACCTACTCACTAAGGCCAAACATCCTTTTAGCTAAATAACATTTGCCAAGATGTGTTTTGGTTTTTGGTGCGTCCTGAGCCAGGGCTCTGCCCCTAAGCCACACTCCCAACTTCTTGCTAACATTACATTTTACTTTCCTCTCCCCACTACCGTTCCCCAGAGATCCCAGTTAGCAGCTGCCCCACTGGCTTTGTTAAGAGCACAGCTGTGGTCTCTCTCACTACACCTGGGACAATTTCAATGCTATCACCATTTTTTTTCTTTGGTTTTTTTTTTTTTTTGAGACAGGGTTTCTCTGTAGCTTTGGAGGCTGTCCTGGAACTCACTTTGTAGACCAGGCTGGCCTTGAACTCACAGAGATCCGCCTGCCTCTGCCTCCCGAGTGCTGGGATTAAAGGCGTATGCCACCAACGCCCGGCGCTATCACCATTTCATTATTTGGTACTTCGAGTTTGTAAGAACTCACCTGTGATATCCACTGAAGCTGGCACTGCTGGTGAAGCTTTCTGGTAACTTCTCCAGGGTTCTCCATTGTTAGCCTTCTTCACTGAAAACTGCATTTCCCTAAAAAAAAATCTGGTTTAATTTCTATACTCTTTTAAAGTTCTTATTTTTAAAGGATATGCCCATATTTGTCCCCTTTTTCCTGAGCACAGTAGCCCGTTGTTAATGTCCCTATGCCCAACAAAGAACCAACTCTTCATTAAGTGCCAACACTCTCACCCATATCCCCAGTCCCAAAACAAATATTTCAACAACATCTGATGTGATCCCAAACCTCTACAGAGAATGAGACTCTTTTTATTTTTTAAACTTATGTCTGTGTGGGTCTATGCCTATAAGTGTAGGTACCCGGAGAGAAATCAGACCCCCCTAGTAGTTAAGAGTTTTGGGGGCTGTGAGTCACCTGATGTAGGTGGTAGGAATCCAAGTCAGGTATATGCTCTCAACCTCTGAGGCATCTCGCCAGAGGTTTGTAACTTCACATGGTGAACGTAAAACCATGTTCTATAGGCTCTGGAAAGGCAGGGCTACCAAGTGCAGGTCTGTTGAAGGTTAGGAGTGTGATCTGCACCATCCATGCTTCTTACTGCTCCAGTTAATAGGCATGAGGTGAAGACCTTCGTTAGTTTGAGACTACGTCTTACTTTACAGCCTGGCCCAGCTTGGTCACAAACTCATAATCCTCCTGCCTCCACCTAATTATAGGAACTACCAAGTCTGTCTAAAAACTGGTTTCTGTTTTGTTTTGAGACAGGGTCTCTCTATGTAGCTCTGGCTATACTGGAACTCTCTATGTAGACCAGGCTGGCCTCAAACTCACAGAGATCCCCCTGCCTCAGCCTCCCAAGTTTAGTCATCACACCTGGCTGAAAACTTATAAGACTACCTAATGTTTGCCAATCTTATAGTAAACAAGATTTTAAAACTTAAAACCTGGCACAGAAATTCCTGATACTATATAATGTCTTGTTCTTTTTTTAATTTCATAGTTAACATTAAAATCAACAAAAATCCCCAGACTTTTAATCTCAGCATTCAGAGGCAGAGGCAGGCAGATCTCAGTGAGTTCGAGGCCAGCCTGGTCTACAAAGTAAGTTCCAAGACAGCCAGGGCTACACAGAGAAATCCCAATCCCCCCAAACAGCTCCATTCAATCAGTTATGGCCATAATGATGGGCCTTGTTAGTAAGCAAACAGAAAACAGCCTATGCAGTTGTTATTTATGGACCTCTCTACAAACTATGTAGGAAATTTTAAGAATCTTGTTGAATATTTAGATTATTAAATATTAAAAAGTCAGGGCTGGAGAGATGGCTCAGAGGTTAAGAGCACTGGTTGCTCTTCCAAAAGTCCCGAGTTCAATTCCCAGCAACCACATGGTGGCTCACAACCATCTATAATGAGATCTGGTGCCCTCTGCTGGCTTGCAGAATGTTGAATGCATAATACACAAATCTTTAAAAATATTAAAAAGTCCTATACAGAAAAGAAGTTTTGTTGTTGTGAGTTCGTGGCCAGCCTGGTCTATAGATCGAGTTCCAGGACAGCCTCCAAAACAATATAGAGAAACCCTGTCTTGAAAAAAAAAAGTATTTGCAACACCTGACTTGATCTATAGACCGGGCTGGCCACGAACTCACAGAGATCTGCCTGCCTCTGCCTCCCGTGTGCTGGGATTAAAGGTGTGGGCCACCAACACCCGTCGAAAAGAAGTATTTTTTGTTTATTTTTCGAGACAGGGTTTCTGTGTAAACCAGGCTGCCCTTGAACTCACAGAGATTCGCCTGCCTCTGCCTCCCAAGTGCTGAGATTAAAGGGGAGCACCACCACGCATGGCCAAGAGTAACGTTTTGAAAACTTCCCATACAAAGTTCTTCCTATAAACTGCACACCACCCATCAGGGTGTGACTGGTTTTCGAACCTAGCTTTTAACAGCTGATCCACCTCTGCAGTCCATGCCCAGGTTCTTAAAGCAGTGAGAGAAGGAAAGACAGTGTGCAGTTTGCTGGTAAAAGTTTAGACTATGGAAGAAGGCAAGATGTCTCATCAGGTAAAGGAGCTTTCTGCCAAGGTGATAACCTGAGTTCATTGCCAGTAACTCACATTATGAAGAAAGAATGATTCTGGAAAGTTGTCCTTGGACCGTCAGGAGCGCAGTGGCACATTAGAGCCTCCTCCCCAATTTATGTTATTATTTAAAACATGGCATGTTAGATTACTATACTCTGACATGACTAAACCCTGTGACACCGACTTCTACTTAAATTTGTAGTAACAATCATTCTTTGCAGTTTACTACAAATTTGTTTACCATAACCGCACTAGTTTATCGAGATAAAGGAGCAAACTGTCACCCAACAAGGGTCAAACTTCCGTGATGTAAGAAGCTGTAAATCCTAAGCACTCAGTGTAACTTGCAGCCCACACGGGTATGCAAAACCCAGATGTGACCTTAATACAAAGGTCTCTGTCCAAAAACAGGGCAAAGGGTGACTGTAATTCTCAAAGGATGTGAATTTCCACTAGTCAGCAGGTCTGAGTCAGCATTTAAAGTCAAGGTTAGCCAGGGTTCGAGTTCTAGATAGAGCACGACTTTTGCAGGTGCAAAGCAACACCTGTGAGGAAAACCCACTATCTTAGCTTAGACCAGAGTCTGTCCTTGTCAGAAGTGTTGCGAGTGACTCTGGTTTGTTTCTCGTGTGCCCTGGACCCGATTCTAGGAATCCTTTCAAAGCCAAGGCGCCGGAGGTCCATTTTGGCATGACTCCACGTACAACTCAGTATTCTGCTCAATAGACCACAGGTAAAAACAGACAGACAAACCAACTAACAGCAGGTAGGCACTAGGACCGGCTGGGCAGCCTGTAGGGGCCAAGACAAAGGTTAGGCTAAAAGGCGTAAACATGGCTGAGGCGCTGACACCCTCTGCCTAATCTTGATACCGACAAGCCACACAGAATGGAACGAGTGACGCCCGCCCAGCCCGCTTCCACTGTTTCCTGCCCGATGCAACATGGTGTCTCAGAACGAGCATTCCCCGGCCTTCCATTTGCGCTCTCCGTGAGGACCCGAAGGCGCTGGGCGGAATCGCCAGCCGCGCGGAGGCACGGGCGATCCCTCGGGGCGGACAAAGGCCGATTCCTCCCCGGGCCTGCAGCTCCCGCGCCCCCGGCTGTGGGCGGGCGCCTCCCGGGCCAAGCGCCGCTGCACCACAGGCCCCTCGGCCGGCTCCCGGGCGCGATCCGCGAGCGGGGCCTGGAGCTCGCGCGGCCACCACGCCGCGGCCCCGCTTCAAGCCTCCCCGCCGTCCCGCCAGAAGCCAGGGCGCACGGGCCGCTGCTCCCCACCCCACCCAGGACTCACCCACGGCCGCGGGCGCCCGCCCGCAGCACGGCCGGCGAGCGAGCCCGCGCAGGCGCAGACCAGGCCTGGCCCAGGCAGGGGTGGGGTGAAGTGCCGTCGGACCACGTGATCAGGACGCCGCCTGGCTCCGAGTCTGGCGGCCGCTGAGGCCACCCTGTGCCGCCTCCTGCCCGACCAGGACTCTGCCACACCTTTCACCAGGCTGGGACGCCGCTAGCCCCTCGCTCTGAGCTGAGGTTGTACGGTGGCCTCACTGTGCCATAAACAGCCAGCGCGTCCTCTAGGGTGGGACCCGTCGAGCTCCCGGAGATCCAAGGGTGTGTCCAGCGCGCGCGTGAAGGCTTGAACGCATCTGGTCCGAGGGTCTCAAAGCTTGGTGGAGAGCTGCTGTCACCGCACCTCACAGGACACCTGTGTGTGCTTGCGGTCCTACACAGCCGCTTTTCCCTTGGGAGCTCACACAGTGTCTGGCATCTTGGAAGGAGCACTATGCCACGAGTTAACGGAGACCCGGGCACGTCTCGAGTGTCTTTGGGCAAGTTACTCATCTCTTCCGAGAATGTGTTCCCCGGTGTTGTGACATTCGTACGATGGTTCTGATTTGTACATGACCACAGGCGACAAATGTGAGAATTTGACCGAAGGGAAGAGGTCAACTTGCTTGGGGGAGGTTCCTTGGCAGACTCCTGGATTTATGACTGGGGTTACCCCACCATTACCGATCACCTCTAGGTGGGCATCCCCAGCATGGCCAGTGTTTGTTTGCTTAGGAAGATGTCAGAGACCACACCTCCTCTCGGAGACCACGCCTCCCTGAGTCCGCAAACAGGCATGTCAATCTTTCGGTGTTGCAAAGCATCCACGTAATCGGGTTTCTAAGGGAAAACACATTAGAAAACACTTCTTTTTTTCGGGTTTGGAGGCTGTCCTGGAACTCGCTTGGTAGTCCAGGCTGGTCTCGAACTCACAGAGATCTGCCTGCCTCTGCCTCCCGAGTGCTGGGATTAAAGGCGTGCGCCACTAACGCCCGGCCGCAGTTCATGTTCTTAACCGGGACTCCTCCAGCACCCAACCCTCAGCTCTTAAAACAAGTCTGTCATTTTCTGTTGGGCCACACTGACAGTGTCCTCTGCCACACAGTTATGGGTGCCGCGGTTGAACACACTTTTGAGCAGTTAGTTCGGAGTCTGATGGGGGTTACAAAGCGAGCCCACAAATGCTGAAGTAGAGGGGCTCTTCCCCTGGAGAGGGAACCAGAATGATGGACTCAGGGTAGGGGGTTTTGAACTGGCCTCAGGATGAGTGGATGGAATGGGCCAGGAGAGGAAGTCAGCAGAGCAGCCGGAGGAGATAAGACTTTAAGGGTCAGATGGGGGCCTGTTCCTCCATGCAAACCTCTCCTGGCAGATACACAAGGAACAGGCTTTTTGGTCACAGAATAATGACGAGGTCACGCTATGGTTTAGAACAATCAGGCACCAAATAGGGAAACAGCATTTACCTCAAAATTACATTTACCTTCGCTTCTGTGAGTTTCTATTCAAATGTATTATTCAAAAAGCCAAGAAAGCAGGCAGGCAGTCAGTGTGTTCATAAGCATAAATCGCTAATTTCAGTTTATAATGTGAAGGTCATTCTCCTGTGGGGGGAAGACATAAGGAAAAGAGGAAGATTGAAATTAAACATGCAGTTGGGATGTAACTGATTCAAGAATGAAAATCCCGCACCACCAGAACGTGTGGAGAGGAGCCAGCGCATTCCTGATGTGCTACCGGCCTCTAGCGTCCTGTCAGGAGCCGAGGGAACTTTGCTCACTGTTCTTGCCTATTTGTTAAAGATCATAAGCGCCATTTTTTTTTGTTTTTGTTTTTGTTTTTCGAGACATGGTTTCTCTGTGGCTTTGGAGGCTGTCCTGGCACTCGCTCTGTAGACCAGGCTGGCCTCGAACTCACAGAGATCCGCCTGCCTCTGCCTCCCGAGTGCTGGGATTAAAGGCCATAAGCCCCGTTTTTAAATTCAGAATGCATCATAAGGCTAGCTTTCCATTTCAGCCCCCATCCTTCACTCTTCCGTTTGGATCCTCAAGCTGTCTGCATCCCTGCAGCCTCCACAGGAGCCATCAGGTGTGTTCATGTCTCTCCTCAACTTGTCACTCCCCAGCTTAGGGTCTTCCCAGTCAATCCACACTCTTACTTAGCTTGGCCCACAGGAAGGTCCCCCATCTGGCTCCTCTGCCTTGCTGCTGACCTTATCCCTAGCTAACATTCAGGGATGTCTCCCTATGCCGTCTCTCATGGTTTGCAAATCCTTGTGTTCTATAAACTTTCTTGTCCTTGTCACCATCAAAGTTTATCCAGACATCATAGCTTGGCAAGGTCCCACTGCCTCCTCCACAGGTGGCATTCCCTGGTCACCTTAGGCCTCTTGTCTGCCCCTTCCCAAACACAGAGGGGTCAGATGTTAATGGCCACTCATAAAGGTGTCTCTTTCCCACAGCCAAATCACAAGGACTGAGCTTTCTGATGCCAAAGGGTAGATTATGTTTGCCAAAATACTGTGTTTGCCAAAATAAAATGCAGGTATAGAGCAGAGGTTTTAAAAGTGCTTCAGGGGGCTGGAGGCTAACTTGGTGGTAGCATGCTTAACCAGCATACTTAAAATCTGGGTCTTTGGGAAAAGCTATGTTGTCAGCGGATTTTTCTGTCCCACCAGTCAGCTCCCAAATAAACAACACAGAGACATCCTAAGAAAGCTTGGCCCATAGCTTAGGCTTGTTTCTAACTAGCTCTTAGAACTTAAATTAACCCATTTCTATGAATTTGCTGTCTGCCTTGTGGCTTTATTACCTCTCTGCATTGCCTATCCTGTCTCAGGGCATTTCCACCCTTCTTCTTCCCAGAGTTCTCTCTGCCCCGAAAATCCTCCCTAGCTGTTGGCCATTCAGCTTTTTATTAGGCCAGTCAGAGTGACACATATTTAGTGTACAACAAGATTATTCCGCAACAGTACCTGGGGGTGCTTCTGGAGGCTCTGTTTAAGCACTCTCTACCTGCTGCCCCCATGCTTTCTAGGAATCGGCCATGTGCCCCCGGGGCCCATCAGTCCAAGTTAACAACTAGTGTCACCCAGACCATCAGTGAAGTCTCAACTGCTAGGTCTGCCCAGATAAGGTCACCTCTGGTCATCCCCTAAGGTCAGCGACCTTCCTCTCTGTTTGCTGTATTTCCCAGGCCTGTCTCTGCCACTCCCTTCACATCCCCAGGCTCCGGCCCTAGTCCTCCCTGAACTGGGAAACACGCACACTTTGTTCCTGTGGCTTCGGTCCCAGCAGCCTCCTTGTCCCTGCTGTC